GTCGAACATTTTGAAAGCGATCTCAAAAAGGCCTATGTTTAATGTATGTATGAAATCTGAAACATTGAAAAGGTCAATATTCTGCAATCTTGAATCTGATTATGAACAAATACATGCAAATGTGATAGTATGTGGTATATAGTTTGAACATGATAGGTCAAGGCCTGTTACAGATATGGCTCTGGAACCCCATTCATAAAAACAAAATGGCTGCCAGTTGACCTTTTTGATCTGAAAAAAATTACGTCCATCAAGGTCTAATGTATGTACCATGTTTAAAGAAATCCATTCATACATGACTGAGATCTGGTTCCAGAATAGCAGAGATGTTTGATTTTGAAAAATTATTAGCACAAAAATGGCCTGCATTTGGCCAATTAGAACGTGAAATAGACATGTATATGTATCCCAAGATGTATGATACACTATTTTGTATTTAATTGGCCCAGGCATGCAGGTGGGGGGGGGGGGGCATATGCACGGAGGCCAATCCACGAGTCCTCAGTTGTGGACTGTGACAAGACAGGGAATAAAAAAAAAAAATTTCATGAATTCAGTGAGTGCACACAAGTAACCAATGTTTTCCCTGTATTAGGCCAGTTCATTTGAGAATGAATGGCAGTTGAAAGGCCATAAGCTTTAATAGGCAACTGGAAAATTAATTTTTGCTCGAATGAAATTCTTTGCCAGCTATGCTATTACAGTATCATGAAAATATACACGCGACATGGCTTATTTATCAGTGTTTTTACTCATTTGGTAACAAGGTTATTTTGGCTCAGTAATTCATGGATTAGATAATTCCAAAAATTTGTGAAAAATATACTCATTTGATGCCCTTTTTTTCATCTATTACCATATACAACTCAGTCTCATTAATTTCAATTTTTATAATTTATTTTTATTCTGTAGGATTTCTTCTTGGGACTGCAGATCCCATTTCAGTTGGTAATCATCACTGCCAGCAAGACGAAATAATAGAAAGCTTATTCCATCTACCTCCGAAGGCTGTACTTCTGCCATCGGATGTTAAGTGTAGACAGTGCTATTTATTTGCCAAACATGGGAAGAGCACTCACCTACAGACATGGAGATATGACGCAATGGAAAACAGTAACAAACAATTAACAAGCTTAGATCCAAAGATAGCGAAAGAAATTGACAATTATTTGATCCCTGAAGGAGGAATCAAAGCTGGTCTTTGCAATCAAATTATCTTATTAGAACAATCTACAGGCTGTGGTTGATTGTAGCTTGGAGGATCAAAATGCATCTTTTTTTTAATTTTCCCAGACATACAATGTTGTACATCTACATGTGAAATTGGTTATACATGAGACATGCTAACAAAAAGTACATATACATGTACCTATAGGGTTTCATATTTCCTGTGGATTCGAAAAATGTTTTAAAACTTGAAAGTTGCTTGAAAGTGCTATATAATA